GCTGGGAGACTTTGGGCCAATCACCGGGAGACGGAGAGTTCTAGTCCCGCCTTAGCTATAAAAGCCAGCTGGGAGACTTTGGGCCAATCACCAGGAGACGGAGAGTTCTAGTCCCGCCTTAGGCACGAAAGCCGGCTGGGAGACTTTGGGCCAATCACCAGGAGACGGAGAGTTCTAGTCCCGCCTTAGCCATGAAATCCAGTTGGCCTTCCGTGTTGAGTACAGTGGCTGGAACATCTGGGAAATATAGTCCCAATCCACCGGGTTGCAAGAGGCTGGGAAAGACCAGGTAGCCTTCAAGGGCTGGCCCAAAAGGCCAGCAGTTCAGTTCTCAACTGAGATCCATCCGCAGAGCGTCCACAAATTTGGATCCTGGGGCTGCAGCCAGACCCCCCTTCCTTTTGTCCTCTCTCCCCAACACCCGGCCCTGAGTGCCTGCCCCCCCCCCATCATCTCCCACTAGTCACGTGGCTTCCCCTGCCAGCCTCAGACCACCACAGCCCCCCTCCCTCGGCTGCGGTCTCTGGCCTGGCCTGTCTCACCTTCACGTGCTGCTCGGCTTCCATCTTCTTCTCCTCCAGATACACCGTGCAGATGAAGTCCCCAGCCTGTGGAGAAGGGGGGGGGATGATAAAACAAGCCCCCAAATCCAAAGGACATCTTCAGACTGGGAGGCTAGGCTAGGGATGCTATTAAAATCATTTTTACACCTACCTACCTACCTACCTATCTACCTACCTATCTATCAATATATCTATCTATCTCATCTGCCTGTCCATCCATCTGTCCATCCGTCCATCTGTCCATCCATCCATCCATCCATCCAGATATCTATCTATCTATCTATCTATCTATCTGTCTGTCTGTCTGTCTGTCTGTCTGTCTGTCTGTCTGTCTGTCTATTCTATCCCTTCCCACTCTCTCAGTCTGTAAACCCAGATCAATGAACCAGTGGAACTCCTTGCCTCCAGAGGTCGTGCAGGCTCCATCACTGGAGGCTTTTAAGAAGAGACTAGACAGCCACTTGTTTGCAACGGTACTATAGGGTCTCCTGCCTGAGCAGGGGGTTGGAC